AGTAGGCAAAGGCTTGGGAAGCACTGTCTTGGCTGTGGCATTCACAACTCCAATAATGAAGTTCTCCAGCACTGGTCCAAATTCAGCTTGGCTCCAAGAATTCAAACAAACCCCACAACCTTTGAAAGGCATCCACCATCTGATTGAATGTACAGGCATTGTATCACCTAAAAATCATCCAAGAAGCTCCAGCTTGCTTAGTCACCATTATTTTTTCCCACTAGACTCTATATTCAATCCCTATACAGTAGGCAGACGTGACTGCAATGCACACCAGCTACAAGCTAAAATGTTGCAACCTATTTCAACATCACATCTCCAACCCACAGCCTCCATGACAGAGGCAGACAAGAACAAATGTTTGCAGAAGACCACCACTTACAAGAGTTCCCCCAAATCTCTCACCATCTGGATTTGAACATAAAACATCATTCCTCTATTTTATAGATAGTAGGAACTGCAAATGCTGGAGAATCTGTATTCAGAAAATTTCTGAAGGAGGGTCTAGGCCCGAAACATCAGCTTTCCTGCTCCTCTGATGCTGCTTGGCCTGCTGTGTTCATCCAGTTCTACACATTGTTATCTCTCATTCCTCTATTTTATCACTGGATCAACTCTCAGCATTATTGTGGGAGCATTAACACCAACTACTAGAACTACCAATATTATACAACGGCAAAACAATCCCAAAGTAACCAGGTTGCTCTCAAAATAAATGCGAAAGGACAATTTCAGGTTTTACTATGATACCTGTTCCAATACAAATGAACAGTTTCAATTAATTATTGTTTTAACAGAATTTCTGATGTACATTCAGTTTTACCCCACATCACAAGGCTCAAAAAAGTTTGATTGAGAAGTTTTTCTGATGACTGATTTACACACCATGAAATTATTCAGGTTTAATTGACAGGGCATGAATTGCAACTTTCTCCCATTGACTTTAAGCAATCAACCAGCACGATTTTGCACAAACCTTGAGCAAATACAGGTTGTGTCAGTAAGTCAGAGAGTCAATGACTTTTTACAGCATGGCCTGTAGCCTTGTATGCTATGGCATTTCAAGTGTCATCATAAAATTAATCACTTTTGGTTCTGACATTCCACAAATGTGGTTAGGATTACTGTTGAGTATCAGTCTACATAGACTATCAGACTCTCAGAATTTGAACAATATTAAATTAAGGTGAGATTCAATTTTAACAGGGAACTTTTTCAAATGTAGAGAAGAGGTCCAAGACACTGTCTCAAGCTAAACACAGGTTTCCTCTCCTGTTCATATCAGGAAAACAACAGATCTAGTAGTACAACCAGATGGTCAGTTACACAGTAAATTTGTTTATTACATTGAATTCATGTTTTAACTGCTCCATACAGAAGACTAACAGCCACAAAGAAAAAAAATGAATGCAGGAATAAGGCCAATCAGCCCAACTATCTCGGCCAAATCAGATCCAGCTTCAGTGTTAGCCTTGACTTAATGGCATCACAAATAGGAAGCCTTGCTGAGTGATGATTGTAATACAGAAAAAGCATTACAGAGTCAGAGGGAACATTTCTTGAAAGAGATGTTAAACAGACTCCTTGTCTTCACTGTCCCCCTAGATAGGTGGGAAAGATCTCAACACCCTACTCAAACTAGAAATTCTGCTGGTGTCCTGGTCAAAAAACTTATTTCTTACCGAACATTATAATCAGACAATTTGGTGCTTTATTTGACTGCTGCTGGCTATATACAACTGGCTGTCACATTTCCTCAATTTTGCTCAAAATTAAAGCACCTACAATATCACAACGTTAAGAAAGGCACTATTTCCTCTTTTATTAAAACTACAATGCAGGAGAAAACTAGCAGCTTCCTGGAGAAATACTATTCCATAGCAGCCAAATTTAAATACTTTATTCACTGAGCAAAGGATGTGTACATAATGGCAATCTTTTCCAGAATCCAATACTTGAAGTTACGTACAGTATATTTTGAAGTAAATCAAGTAAATCTCAATTGCAAGATGACATTAATTCACAAATAATAAATTCAGCAAGTTATTTACTATTTCTTAAAGAGGACAAAGACAAGCTTTTAAAAAGTTTTGAAATATAGTTCTGTTTAGCTTTCTGTGCAGTTCATGACAGCACATTGTATAACCCATTTCTTAAACTAATACAAAAACAATGCAACAAATTAGAAAATATGCTTTGCTACAGTACTTTAGTATTCATAGCTACACAGACTTCCATTTTAGTTTAAGGATAGTTTCAAATCCCTAAATGTTAGTTAGAATTTGGCCAATAAGGCATAAAGCCAAATTTCAAACGACAGGTCTCTCACTAGCAGTCTTAACCATACAGTCATAGAATCATACAGCATGGAGACAGACCCTTCGGTCCAACCAGACCATGACAACTGTTTTCTCAAACTAAACCAGTCCCACCTGCTTGCATTTGGCCCACAACCCTCCAAATCTTTTCTATTCATGTATTTATCCAAATACCTTTTAAACATTGTAACAGTACCTGCACCCAATACTTCCTCTGGCAGTTCATTCCACACACTGACCATTCTGTAAAAAAGCTGTCCCTCATGTCCTTTTAAAAACTCTCTCCTCTCACCCCAACCTTGGATGTGAGGGGGGTTGGTTGGGGGGGGGACTGCTGTTCACCTTATCTACTCCCCTCACAATTTTGTAAATCTCTACAAGGTCACCCCTCAGCCTTCTACGTTCTAGTGTAAGAAGTCCCAGCTTATTTTCATAGCTCCGACCCTCCATTCCCAGCAACATCCTAGTAAATCTTTTCTGAACTCTCTCCAATTTAATAATATCCTATGACAGGGTGACCAGAACTGCATGCAGTTTTCCACGAGAGAACTCACCAACATCCTGTACAACCTCAGCATGACATCCCAACTCCTATATGCAAAGGTCTGAGTAATGAAGACAAGCATGCTAAACTCCTTAACTACACTGCCCACCTGTGACGCAAATTTCAAAGAATTATGCATCTGAACCGTTACGTCTCTCTTTTCGACAACACTACTCAGGGCCCTACCATTAATTGTATAAATCCTGTCCTTGTCTGTATTACCAAAATGAAATATCTTGCATTTACCCAAATTAAACGCCATCTGCCACTCCTCAGCCCATTGACCCAATTGATCAAGATCTCTCTGTAATCTTAGATAACCTCCTTTACTGTCCACTATACAGTCAATTTTGGTGTCATCCCCAAGCTTACTAACAGTGCCTTCTACATTCTCATCCAAATCATTTACAAAAATTACAAACAAAAGTGAACCCAGTACCAATCCCTGTAGAACACTGCTGGTCACAGACCTCCAGCCCAAAAATCAGCCCTTCACCACTACCCTCTGTCACCTACCAAAAAACCAATTTTGAATCCCATTGGCGAGTTCACCCTGAATCCCATGTGATCTAACTTAACTGATTAGTATAGCATGTCGAATCTCAAATGCTTTACTAAAGTCCAAGTAAACAATGTCTACCGCTCTGCCCTCATTCTTAAAAAAATGTTCAGTCTCAACAGACTTTATAGGGAGTAAAATTAAAATGTCATAACATGAACAATCAGCAATTTGAGTGCACTAGGTATATTGCAGCCAACACATTCAAAGGATGACAGTAGACTGAATGCATTTAAAAACATTGCTCAGAGAAAGGGGCATTCCTACTCTTGGTTAGTCAGATTCCAAATTATTTGATGACCTAACTGTGGAAGCAAAGAAATAAACTGGACCCTAGTTAAATTAGAAATATTCCCAAGTATGTCTTCAGCTTGGGAAAAATGGCAACAGTGAAAACCAGTGACTTCTTGGTATCTCCTGGAATGAAGCTGAACAGGTTTAGAACTGCCAATGCTGGAAGTCAGAGTCAATACAGTGTGGAGCTGAAGGAACACAGCAGGTCAGGCAGCAGAGGAGAAGGAAAGTCTAAGTTTCAGGTCCTGACCTAAAACATCGACTTTCCTGCTCCTCTGCTACTGCCTGACTTGCTGTGTTCCTCCAGCTCCACACTGTATCAACAGTTTTACTCCATCTATAGAAATGCATCATCAACCAAAATATTAACAATAAGACAGTTTTAGACATCTACTTCATCACAAGTAGATCAGAAAGAAAAATAATAAGGAATGGCAAGTAATACTGAATTGTCATGGTGACTCCTCAATTTAAAAAAAACTTGCTCAGAAAAGTTGTTACACACCTCTGAAGCAGGTGGGATTTGAACTGGAGCCTCTCAGCTCAGGAGCTAGGGACATTAACACTTATAAAGAGCCCTCAGATTTACGTACCATCTGGCACGCCTGTGCACACAACTGAAGGGTAGGATTGATAATTACAAAAATGTACTTGCAGTCACAGCAACAGACAACACTTTTCCTACATATCCACTGACAAATTCATACAGCATCACTGATAACATCAAGAGATCTAAAAAGCACTCTTCAGCCAATGAAGCACTTTTGAAATGCAAGAGCTGTTGTAATGAAGGATTTACAGCTATCAATTTGCACAAAGAAAGCTCCTACAATCACAGTGTGAACAAGGTCACACTGCTGTTGAGTGGCAGTAATTCAGGAACAAAAGGGATAGCTTAAGCGGGGGGGGGGGGGAACGAACTACCTAGAAAGGAAACAACATATAAACAAATCTTCAACAGTAACGTTTGACCCTTTATATAACAAAAAAACATTAAGTTTCCAACTGATAGAAGGAGAGCAGGGGGAGATGGGAGGGAGCTCGAGTGAGCTCAAAAGGTCTTCCCTTTCACTCCCCTAGACTATCGGTAAGATTGAATTGAAAAGGGAGCTGACATCCTAGAAATCGTAAATCCACAGTTTCCAACACATTATAAAATTACGCACAGATCTTATACGCGACACTAATTCATTGGAAAGCTCCCTTTTCCATTGCCTCCTCCTTTGTCAAAGAGCATGAATAAAGACCGGGGGTGGGGGGAAGTCGGGGAATTTGTCGCACTTACCTTAACTCCCCCTCAAACACCTCGCCTTCAGAAACATCTCAACCCGCAACGCAGCATAGAAAGAGAGAGAGAGAAAAGATAAAAGGACCGGGTTGTGGGGGGGTGGTGGAGGGAGAAAGAAACGGCACCGGCCAGAGGCTCAGCTCCAACTGCCACCGATTGAGCTCAGAGAAGGGAACACCCGGACAAGCGGCCGCCTCCGGCTTCCCGGACCCCGGGCACTGTCCGAGAACGAGAACGATGGCAGCGCCCCGGTTCGCTACACTCGCACCACTAGCCGGACGGTTAATGGTGATCACGTAGCGTTTGGTGGACGAAGATGGACGAGAGTCTCGAGGCGGCTGAGGGGGGGGGGGTGAGAGCAGTGTATGTTGTGGGGGGGAAGGAGGGTGGGACATCCGAAACTGCCAGCCGGAACTCCATGGCGACCGAGTGATTGACACCGCCTCCCGACCACTGGCGAGGCGCTCTCGCGGCCGAGGCGCCCGGCAACCGGAGCGCCAATGGGAGACCGGGGAAGGTGGGGGCGTGGGCGTGGCTGGATGAGCCGGAGGTGGTGAGTCATCCCAGTCGCCTGCTCCCCGGCTTCTCTGCCGAACTCCCTTCTCTACCCCTCAACCTCCTACACCCACCATATGGGATTGCAGGCGATGAGATTACTGGACATTGTCCAGCGCGTGCAAAAAAGTCTGAAAGTACTCATGATGGTGTTTGTTTTTAATTTTGCTTTTAAAAAAATTACAGTCAACAACATTACCGACATACGCCTAAAAGTGTTTCTCAGCACGTTGTACATCACGCAAAGTAAATCTAACTGTCAGTGAATCCGATGCCAAACAGGGCAATAACAGTCATGAAATTTTCACTTATGGAAGCCTGCGACAAAATTGCACATCCAGCATTTTCTGGCAGCAGTGTTTCCACCTCAAAGTAAGGAGACTTCATAGGATCAGGAGCACGGAGGTTTCTTAGTCCACAGAATTCAACCTAACCTTTTTTCAAGAGTTAGACCCATTCCCTGGCGTAGACCTGCACTTTTCCCCTCCTTACCTAAGTCACGTTTGAATCTGTCTCCACCATCCTTTAAGGCGGAGCAGCGATCACCTTATTTCTATCCATTTGGATCTCATTACTAGCCTAACATTTGGGGAGCTTCTTCCTCAACCAGCTGCAGAGGTGTGCTCACCAGGTTGTTGTCTTGTGTCTAATCTGGAGAGGATATCCATCAAGGTGAAAGTCTCTCAGTTGCTGGAGGATGCAGTTGAAAGATGCATCTTCTGAAGGTTCAGTGGCCTTCTCAGAGATAGAGATGAAGCCAGAGGCCTCACTTTATGGAGGTTTGCTGGGTGCCACCAATGTCTGCATAAGAATAGTGGGATTTAGTTGTCTAAGACAGATAAAATCTCATGTAGGTTAAGAATGGGTGCTGCTGGTAACACTGGGAGAGAAGCACAGCACTATGAAGGTCATTTAATTGGTTGGCCACTGAGGTCACTTATCGTCATTACTGCTGACATACTCTACTTCAGCTAATGCGAGAAGTTTCTCCTCGTATGCAGTAAGGAGCCTGATTTCCACCATGCGTCACCACCACAGCCAACCCCAACACCCCACATCTGCCTTGAACATGTTTATCTGATTGTGGGCCAATTTTGTTTTGCAATGAGATGAAGGGAGGGATTGAGTCTGATGGAAGAGACTGGAAAAACTGTTAACAGTGATTTTAGAGAATGAGGCTTGGGAGTAATAAAAGGGAACCAGTAACTGGCAGAGGAATGGAATAAATACTTTGCATAAGTCTTCACAGGAGAGAAAATAATCAGTATTCCAAAACTACCAAAATAAGGGACAAAAATTGGGGAAGAAATAAATGCCAAAAAAAACCACTCCAGAAAAAAAGTGCTAGGGAAACTAATGGGGCTAAGGATCGATTCTTTGAGGAAATAACAAGTAAGATAAAGGAAAACCAGCAGATGTAATATATTTGGATTTTCAAAAGGCATTCTATAAAGTACCATGTATAAATCTAATTAATAACATGGTATTAGGAGTAGTACATTAGTGTGGATAGAGGATTGACTAACTAATGAAAGATAGAAAGTTAGGATATAGGCGTAATTTTCAGGATGGCAACCTGTAACTAATGGAATGCCATGGGGTTCAGTGCTGGGGCCTCAATTATTTACAATATATATTGATGACTTGGGTGAGGTAAGTGAATATACTATCACCAAGTTAGCAGATGACACAAAAATAAGTGGGAAGGAAAGTGTTGAGGATGACACAAAGAGTCTAAAGACAAAAATAGACAGGTTACATAAATGGACAAAGACTTGGTAGATGGAATATTATGTGATTATACATTTTGGCAGGAAGAATAAAGTAGCTGCATGTTATTTAAGTGGAGAAAGACTGCAGAAATCTGCAGCACAAAAGGGTTTGGTGATCCTCATGCATTTACCACAAAAAAACTAACATAGAAGTTTAGCAGGTAATAGGGAACAGTATAAAAATAGGGATGTCTAGTTTAAACTATACAAGACACTAGTCAGACCATACATAGAATATTGTGAAAAAGTTTGGTCTCCTAATGTAAGGAAAGATATGCAGGCTTTGGAGGCAGTCCAGAAAAGGTTCACAAGGTTGTTGCCAGTATGTTGGGATCCTCTTATACGGAGAAATCAAACAATGTTGTTTTCATTGCAGTTTAGAAGAACAATAGGTGACCTTATTGAAATATGTAAGATTTTTAGGCAGTTTGACAGTTATTTTCTTTGTGGGAATCACTGTCTAAGCCACCAGGTATTGGCCAACCGTAATTAATCAGAGGGCAGTTAAGAATCAACTACGTTGCTACCAGTCTGTAGTCATAAATAGGCCGCACTGTTTAAGGATCCACCAAAGTAGGCTTCCTTCCCCTAAAGGACATTAGTGAATCTGATGTGTTTTTATAGTGATCTATAGTGGTTATAAACTAACTTCAAATCCAGAGTTTTATTGAATTCAAATTTTACCATCTGCCAAGGTGAGATTCAAACCCATATTTCCAGTACATTAGCCTGCGGATTCTGGATTGCTAGTTCATTTTCATTACAATTATGCCACCACCTCCTTTTGAGGGTTGGTGTAGCAAGGTTGCTTCCCCTTTTGGGAGAGTCTAGGACTAGAGGGCATAATCTCAGAGTAAGGGTTGACAATTTATGACAGATGAGGAATTTATTCTCTCAGAGGGTAGTAAATCTGTGGAATCCTTTGCTGCAGATTGCTGTGGAGACTTTGTGGTTAAGAATATTCAAGGCTGAGATAGACAGATTTTAAACCAATAAGGGAATCAAGTGGTATGTGAAAGGTAGGAAAGTGGAGTTGAGGATTATCAGATCAGTCACGATCTAATTGAATAGTGGAGCAGACTTGATGGAGAGACAGACAGGTCTTATGCAGGAGAGGTGATGAAATGTCATCAATGAAAAAGTAGCAGACACAGAATGCAGAATTCATAGTTTGGGAGTATGATCTGGGCAAGAGCCCTTGAGTGGACATGTTGCATGCATCAGTGAGAGTGGTAGTCCATGATCTTCAGTGAGATGTATGTGTATGTAGCAACAGAGTGTGTCAGTAGTGGCCATGTGAGTGGGACTTAACAGAGGTAAGATGGTGACATTCACACTTGCCGAGCATAGAAGATCGTTGACCTGTTTCCTGTACTACCGGGTGTCCCTTCTGACTTGGTACACAGACACTACGTGAGTTGAGGCTGGCTCACACTGTTATAGAAATTCACAGGAAAATTAACAACCCTGCTCTTCACTACCCTGTACACCAATATCTCCAGATCCCTGTCCACAAAATGGGATGTGAGCTTTCATTTCCTCTGTGCCATAATGGTCAAGTGTGTCGACTAGTTCCTGGCCTGTAGTTACTGCGATAGGATGCAGGTGGACTTTAAATATGGCAAGCAATGTGATTGATGGAAGGTCGTGGCAGTGATGAGCACAATTTTGTCTGCTGCTACGTAATTCCATGAAAAGTGGGCTCATGACCCCAGTTGCTTGACTGACCAGATGAAGCACAGAAGACAGTCTTGAGAAAAGTCACTCAGAGTCATGGTGAAGTATTCCATTACATTCTTGACTTGTGCCTGGTGACAGGTTTTGGGCAATTGTGAGGTGAGTTAGTCCCAACAGAATTCCTATGGATGTGGAGGTTGAAGGAGTCTATATGAGTTACTGCAGTCCAACTTGTGGATGGTACACATGGTTGCCCGTATGCATCACTGATTGAGGGAGTGAATGCTGAAGGTGCCAAAGTGAATGGGATTACAGTCAAGTAGGCTGCTTTGTCCTCAATGATGTCAAGTTTCTAGGCTGATGTTGGAGTTAAATTCATCCAGGCGAAGAGTAGGGTGGTGTGTATTCCAGTACACTGCTGTTTTGTGCCTTGTACACAGTTGACAGGTTTGCAAGAGTCAGAAGATGAGTTACTTAATTACAGAATTCCTAGTCATCGTCTTGCTGTTATAGCCACAATATTTATATGGCTGGTCTAGGTACTCTTAATGCTGCTCCTGCCATGCCCTCCTGCATTCTTCATTTAGCAGGCTGGATCCCACGGCTTGATGGTATTGCTGGATTGGGGATATGCCGGGCCATTAGGCTGGAGATGTGGTTGGATACAATTCTGCTAATGTTAATTGTCTGAGATATTTCATTGATGTCCCATTTTGAGTTGCAAGATCTGTTTGAAGTCTGTCCCATTTAGCACAATGGTGACTCCACTCAACACGATAGAGGGTATTTTCAGTGTGAAGTTGGGACCTTCTCTCCACAAGGACTGTAAGGTGATCACTCTTTCCAATACTGTCAAGGACAGGCGCATCTGCTACAGCTAGGTTGATGAGGATGAAGTCAAGTAACATTTTCCCTCTTATTGGTTTCTTGATTATTCATTACGTGTTTGAGTGACTGTTAATTTTCTTCTGGTATATCACTTTGAAAAGCTTCTCCACCGTTGAGGTTTCATTGACTGGCTTTTAGTTGCTGGTTCATCTTTACACCCCTTTTTGAACATGGATGTATCTGACTTGGAAATATATCAGCATTCCTTTACTGTGTCTGGGTCAAAAACCTGGAACCTGCTCCCTAACTGCCACCTCTAGTAATGCATTCCTTAATGTGTTTGCATGAAATTACTGTATGTGATTACATTTATAGTTGTCAGCACAATTTAAATAAACTTGGTTACTGGCAATTTTTTGATGCTATTCTTAAAATAAGCAAGTTAATGTTGCTTTAACAATGTTTTTTAAATGAATTTGTTTGGGAAAAGAAAGACTTTCATGTGGAAAACAATTTTTTAAATC